TTGCGTTCGATCGAGCTCTATGGGCCGCACTGCCCTCTCGACATGGCGTACGTTCTTGGTGACATGATGACACGTGCTCTCGATGCCCACGATGCGTATGCCAAAGCGTCGCGCGCCGTGTACTTCTGGTGCATCGCGGTGACGCCGCAGCTTGACGCGTTTCAAGAGCTTCTGATGAGCGGCCATCTCGACGATGCACGTACGGTCTTGCACTCCGTCTACATCGGCAGTGCTGACGCCATGAAGACGGCCACGGGAGCCCTCGCGACCACAAAAGCGCTCTTGACGTATGTTGAAGACGAAGCGATGCTGTTCAGTGCCCGCATGCGCACCGGCAGCCTTGACCAAACGCCAGCAACTACGGACGGCACCAAGGAGACCATAATGTCAGAGACAAGTGCCCACGGTGCGATGACGCTGGTGACGTCAGAGACGATGACGACGTCGTCCGCATTGGTGTCATTGGTACCGGAAAAGATGCAGCAAATACGCAAGACCATTTACAAGGCATACAGCGCCTGCAAAGAAGCGTCGATTCTACCGTGGACAGCACAGCCCACGACAACTTGTCCGCCATTGACGATCGACATTACCATGGCGGACGCTCTGTGCAACCTGGCCACACGGTTGCACACGATGGCTGGCCACATCGAGATGGGTCTGGAGGGTCTCGCGACAACCGACGTTGGCTCGCTTGTAGCGAAGGAGGTCCAGCACCCCAAGGACCTTGGCAAAAACGCTCGAGCCCACTGTGAGGCCGCGTCCGCCTTGTGCAATGCATGCAATGAATTTATTCGCAACCACAAGAGCCACTACGCTTGCGATCTAGCGACGACATTGTAAAAACCACAAATACCACACTTGTGTGGAATAAAAAACCACTGTGTTTTAAGCAGGACGTTTGGATTGGCTAAGAAAAGACCAATCATCGGCCGTTCTCGTCCTGCGAGGCAGACTGGCGCCGCCATGGTCGCAGTCGCTCGCTCAAGGACGATGGCCCAGCTGCGTAATGCAGGAGGAGTTACGAGCTGACGAGATGCAATCGCCTCGACTGGTCGCATAGCATGGTGCACTGTCACAGGCTGAGCCTCTGAGCTAGCGACGGCAATCGCACCAACAGCCGCGTCGCGTCAGCTCGCGCAAATTACCGAAAAAGCAAGCAAGCCACTGCGCTCGCTCTTCTTGCAACCGACTCGGGGCGATTTACAAGAGATGTAAGCTCAAGATCGCGCTTAGGCCAAAGATGGCTGTCGCCGGCGACGAACGGAGCCGCATGCGTCCGTGCGCGTCGCTAAGGAGTGCTGATGAGACGAACCCTCGATGACCATTAAATTCTACTAACATAAATTTAGTAGTAGCTAACAAACAATAATCTATCACATTACATGGCATTATATGTAGCGCTAATGCGTTCTCGATGCTTGTGCTGGTAATTTTCGCATTCGTTCAAAAGGGCGGACGATACAATCGTGAGCTCCTCTAGCGTCGCTGGGTCCAACGTCTCCAGCGACACGGAGTGCTCAAGGTACGATTCAAGTGCCTCAACGACGCGCAGATTCTGCAGCTCCGTCAGCGCTATTTCGATACGATCAACGAGGTTAGCAATGCGTCGCACGTGGCGCTGGAGTACGTTGGCCCACTCGACGACGTCGGGCTCAAATGACATCGCGTTCCCTAGCTCCCCGTTCGTCAACGTGTTGGTCTTCGCACTGGTCTTGTGGAGCGCGGCGAGCTTTTCATACATGACCGCTGTGTCCTTCAACGTGTCGATACACGAATGCATTGCTGTCGCTACCTTCTGCATGACTTCGACGCCGCTGCGGCAGAGTTCGACGGCGACTGTTGTCGCGTCCTTCAAGTTGTCGTCGCGCACCGCTTCGATGGCAAATGCAAGGAACGATTCGGCTTGTATGCACCACGAATTGACTTCGCGCCCCGCCTTGTCGACCGCGTCGCAGCTGTTGAGCGCCTGTGTCGTCGCTGTTCCGATCAACGGCGCAGCATCGTGAGGGCACGCGGGCACGTAGGCGTCGACGGTCGCCATCGAGTTGCGTGAAAAGAGAGCCGGCTGAACACTGACGTCGATGAGCGTATCAAAGATCGCAAGCCCCGTTCGTAGCAGAAATAGCCCGCTCGCGAGCCCTGAAGCGTTGGCAGGCTGGGCAGCGATGGCCTTGGTCAATCGCGCGGACTTATCGTACTCGCACCAGATCTCGTCAAAATGTTGCTGAATCAGCGACCGGTAAGGCGGAAGATTCGGTCTCGTGACGATCAGTGGCTTAATGGTGGGCTCCGACTCGTTGTCCCGCTGCAAAATTGCCCCGTCGTCGTCGTCTTGATCGGGTGTTGCTTCGTCTTGGCGCTCAAAGGTTGGTCGTGGAAGGATCTGGTGCTCGTTGATGTCCAGGGCGACGTGGTCGGTCGATGTCTCGGTGTCTGGTGCCTCCACCGTCTCGGTGCTCGTCGGCTCGTCTTCTCGCTGCATGTCGTCGTCGTCTAGCTCGGGTGCTGCTCCATTCATGTCCAATTCGACATTCGAGAGCGACGCGGTGTGTGCCGAGGCGGAGAGACGATGCATATCGTTCATCAGAAGCGGCGATCGATCGCCATAGGCCGACTCCGATTTTGTACGCCGTCGAAGTCTGCGCGAAGCGCAGTCGAGGCAAGCGCCAATGATCGAGAGGACAATGAGCACGAGACACCCGAAGGGGACGAGCATTATTGCGTGGTGATAAGGGTGCGCGACTGGGTAAATTGAAGACTGTTCGCCAAGGACCCGCATTGCGACAACGAAAGCATCAACTGCCGACGTCTAGTTGCGTGCATTTAGACTCTCGTGACCAGGCAGTTGACTGAATCTGTCAACGTTGATCCGGATAGTTTCTTATATCCGGATTGACGTGATAAGTATCAATCTATCAGTCGATGGACGTGACATTTTACAGGGCAAACCTTGAAGCTGACGTCGGCGCCCATCGGTTTATCCAGTCACGGAATCGAAAGCGGCAGGCGAATCCAAAGCGCAACGAGTGTCGAGTCGGTACTGTCGATGCAGCTGCGCTCGCGCAACGAAGCTGCACGTGGCATCCTTGCCACGTACCGGGATGCCTTTTCGCCCGAGATCAACGCCTTTGTTCAGCGCTACGAGGCTCTCGTTGCAAGCAGCCATGCCGCGCGGCAGCAAGCGTTGGCCCCCGCACAAGCGTGGTGTACAATGCTGCTGCATCTCCTTACCGACTATGTCCTTTTGCAAGCCGACTCGGGGCGCGCCGACATGCGGGTGTCCGTTCTACAAGTGCTACAAGAGGGCTGGGACGTGCTCGAAGATGCGATTTCGCGCCTTAAGCACGACACGTGGACACTCGAACACGCGAAAACGACGCTTCTCAGCGAGCTTTCTGCTTGTCTTTGCGCCGACATGGCCGACGCAAGTGCGCTCCAAACCACCCATTTCAAGGACATTCTGGAAGACGCCAGCCAACTACGAGTGCTTCGAAGTGCCGACGACCCAACACGGCGGCTTGTGCCGAAACAGGCGCTGGCGGGACCGTGGGGCCTTGTTGTTACCATCGGTCCGTTCTCAGCGACCTCTGTCCGCGCCCTCGCGACACAGATTCGATCGCAGGTGACAAGCGCTCTTCAGATGCATGCCAAGAGCGTTCTCCACGCAGCTTTGCTGGACGTCAACGCCATGTCGAACGTGCTCGACGGGTATATTTACGCGCGACGGCGCGATGGAAGCGCGTTGTCGAGCTTGAAGGCACGGGTTGCCGAGACGATTTTAGACATTAGCTGCACAAACGACGGTACATCAAGGAGCTTTGAAGCACTCGAAAAGCTCTTGTATCTGTGCACAGAGCTGCTCGATGCGTGGGTTATATAACGAGCGCACATCGATGACCGTACATACTAGTGCACTAGATATCAATAGACCGACAACTTTTTTCCACTCAGTCGCTCGCTGGATTGTGCCAGAAGGGGCGGCAAATTACGCTGCCATGTTACTTAAGTCGTTCGGCACATTGCAGATATTAGCATTACTCGCAAGACAGCCAAATCCAATCGCTGTTGGCTTCAAAGTGCATTGTTGAGCAAGGGGCATCGTCAGACGAGACATGAAGGCGCAGTTGATGTCAAGGATAGACGATTCGATTTGTTCAAGGTAGGCGTCGATCGTCCGTGTTATACCCCGACACGGAGTCGTCGCGCCGGGGTTGCACCCCGCGTCGTTTAATACGCTTGCGTTTGTCGCGGGTGGCATTGGCGTGACGCCGCTTCTCGGGGTGCTCGTCGACGCGGTGCATGCGACGCCTGCGAAGGCGACGCATTTCGTATGGCACGTGCGCGACATGCGTCTTTTGCATAAGTTCGAGTCCATTCCGGACGACGTCGTCGCGAAAGCGCCTCGATGGCAAGTGCACTACCACGTGACACAACCAGCGTCAGAGGCGATTGACGTACTGGCCGAGACGACGACGACGGTGCTCGATCTCCACCCGGTGCCAACCCCGCCACGACCGATGACGACGGTCTCGAAAAGCCGGGAGGTGGCGGTCGTGCTGCTTTCGTTCCTCTGCAGCGGCGGTCTTTTGCTGCTGGTTCAATACGGTAACAAACTCCAAGCTCGAAACGCAGCGCTCTGGCAGCTGCAGCGATGTGTCGAGTTTTGTGTTGTCGTTCTCGGCGCCTACGCCAGCTATATGGCGGTAGTACCACGATCGTTGCGAAGTAGCGAATGCAGTGCTATCTGCAAAGACAGGTGCCTCAAAAGCGAGACCTAGATACGTTTGCGGCCGACTACAACGTGCAACATGGGCGCGCCGACTGGGACACGTTTTTGCAACACTGACGCGGTCGTCCATCGGTGTGTTTGTGTCGGGACCACCGAGTCTCTTGCGTACAATCAACGCGCACACGGTGCTTGCAAAGTACACGGTGCAAAAGGGAGAATTTGAGCTCTAGAGTACTCGTATATTTGTACTACTAATACGCAATACCATTCTCAACCCCGTGACCTTTTGTCTCTCCGTGTATTTCTCGCCGCACGTCGTTGCGTGGTGTGTGTCGACGTCGATACCGACGACGCTTTGGGCAAACATATGAGTTTTCATGCAAGTTGAAGGATCCTATTGGTCTAATCCCGAAGATACTGCTCGCGTCTGGCCATGAAAAGGTTGCACATGTCGACAAGCTGGGTCGCAACTTGAATCTGCCGGTCTACATTCGGAATGCCAAGAAACACCGCGGTGATCTTGCGCTGGGTTTCGACGGTACTCACTTCATTTACGTCACGTGTGTACACGATGTCGGCTTTGCGTCCACCGACATCGGCGCATTTGACGCCGACTTTGGCGGCGGCCATCTGTTGAGTCACCGCGACAATTTGTGCGTCTAGCTCCTCGTTGTTCCGGGTGCGGCGCGTCTCGATCTTCGCCTTCGTATCGGCGACACCGGATACCACAATGTTGACGAGGCCGCGCCAAATGCTCTCAAAGGCGCCGACCTCGACCGTGGTGATGTAGTTGCTATCGTGCTTGGCACGCGCGGCCTTCAAGTCTTGTCGAACACGAGTGAGAAGGGTTATCTTGGCACCGGTCACCTTGTTGAGCGTGTCTTTGCTAAGTTTGAGCTTCTTGGTGGCCCTGGCCAACATGTCCTTGCCTACTTCGAGAAGCGAAAGATACGCGGCAGCGTCGGCGCTGGGCTCGCTTCGCAGCTGGTCGATGTACATCGTAAGCAAGGGCACGGCAAGGTAGCACCACTGGAAGATCGCAATCATTGCGTCCGTGTGTGCGGTCGCCGCTTGGTGCGTGTCCATGATCATCGAGTGGAGGAGCCGCGCAGCAGGTGCTTCAGAGTCGTCGAACGTGTCGTACGCCTTCTGCAAATCCTGCACAAAGGCGAAGCATACGTCCTGACTTTGTCCGCAAACACCCAAGATGGTCGAGTATTCCATGAGCTGTTCCTCCATGACGGGCTGTGCGGACTTGCAACGCAATTGAAAAGTGAGTGGGTGTAGTGGGCATAAACTGGCGTTTGATTGAAAGTAGTTGATATAAACCTAAATTCGTACTCGAGTGGAATGTTGAAGCCGGTCATCTATCACGATAGATCAAACTCGCTAAATAAATTTGTCGGACTTGCTTCGTTGTGAACACTCGGTTGAGGATCTCGATCTAGGCTGGCGAGGCAGGGCACGAGCGTTGATGCTTGTGCACTTGGCCACTTATATGCATGCAATCTTTCAAAACAAATTGGGGCGTTTTGGCTTGTTGATATACCGATCGAGTAAATGCTCTAAAACGGCCTTATCAACTGGGACATCCATCCATATTACCACCGAGCTTCGTGTCGCACGAGTTTAGGGAAATCTACTTGATACTAGCTCACCTTGATACAAACACCTTCCCATCGCGCTGTCGACAGGTATCGAGACTTGATACAGTGCTGGCTCTTGATGCTAGAGCCAGCATCGCAAGTGCCGTGGGATTGGTGTTGCACATTGTTTATAAAGTGTGGCTCTCGCTCATTTTACATTTCCTATGACGAAGCCCGCCTTGCCACTGACGCTGCCGGAACAAAACACCGAGGGAAACCAAGCTGCGATGCTCCGTGCGATCATGGCGGGGCTCGAGAACGGGTTCCGAGGCAACGGACTTCTCGAGTGGCTTGAAACGTACGAGGGCGATTTTTCGGTCGCCGCTGCACCCCACGCAAGTGCCACCATTACCAAGCTTCGCAATGCTCGCGACTGTTTTCAGCAGGCTACAAACAGTGCTTGCGGGTGGTGCACACTCATGAAGGCTTATATCCCGGCCTACTTGGCCGCGCTAGAGGCACCGGATGCTACTGCGCGCAACTGCCTCATGCAGGCGCTTGTTGATGGGGATGCCGTTCTCGTCACGGCGATCTCAAAGCTTAGTGAGTGCTCCACGTGGCTCACGGATGCGCTTGGCTCCTTGACGGCGCTCCGCGCCCAGCTTCGGTACGACTTTGAAGAAGATACCGCTGCCCGACGCCAGTACGTCGAATCAATTGCCGAGAATGTGCGCAGCTACACTGCCCCCGGTGGTGCAGCCGTCTCCGGTCTCGTCGTGACGGCCACCGCGTGCTTCTTTGTTGGCCCCTTTGGCCTTGCTGTTTTGATTCCTTCCGGCTTCGTGGGCGGCAAGGCCGGCGGTGCCATGTCGGATGCTGTGATCTACAAAGTGTACGGTCCTGAACTTGATGCGCAGCTGGCGACAGTGCAGACCAAATTCGCTACGCTCCAAGCCCATGTGACCGAGACGTCGACGGGCATTGAGACCGCCCTCCATGCGCTCCGGGGCGAGGCCGAGGCCGTCACGCTGCTCCAAGCCAAACGCACCGTGAGCGCGACGTTTATGGGCTTCGGCAACATGCCATTGCGCAACGTTGCGCCGGAAGCCAACGCCCTCTTGGCCACTTGTACAACATACCTCGTCGACCATCCGTCGCTCACCGACTCTGTCGAGGCGTAGTTTGGCCGATTTGGGTCGCTGCCTTGTACGATTTCATTTCATAAACGATAGACCATTTGTGTAAAACTCAGCAACTAAAGCAATGGTACTTTTTGCCGAAAATGGGACTGATTCACACACCGATAAATCCACAACGGTCGAGTTGTCGGTGCAAAGTTCTCGAATCTCGCAGCTCAATACTAACCGATAGTCAAATACAAGTTGTGTGCTTCCCACACGCTCTACGCCGACTCGATCTCTGTGCGCGAAGGTTGGTTGCTGGGTCGTTTCCCACGCCCTTGGCCGACCCCAAAGCTCTTCGCCAAGCCTTTCACTCTTTTTGTGACTCGTCTAGTCGTTTTGATAGTACTTTCAATAGTACGTCGACTTGTCACAAACTTGTCAAATGGCACTTGATACTTTGTTGTTGAAGTGGGTCGTCAATTAAAATAGATAAAACGTCGCTAAATAAAATCGTCGGAGTTCTTTGTTGCGTACTCTCGGTTGAGGAACTTGCTCGAGGCAGGAGCGCGATCCGCGGGACAAGGTGCTGGCGCGGCCACTCGTGTTGAGCGAGGAGCCGGAGAAAAAAACGACGAAGATCGGACTGCTCGGGCTCTTGAACGAGGCTGTGGTGCAAGTGCAGTTGAGCGACACGCGTCGCCTTGACTGCAAACATCCATGGGCTTGGTAGTGGCAGGTCGGCGCGAGTGACGCACCGCCAGACGGTGAACCAGTTGACACGTGATACTTCGCAAATTTATCAACTGGGGCGCAAAGAAACGCACGTACTGTCATGTGATTGGCTGAAATGATCCATACACCGTTGAGTTTGCCCTTTGCCATTCGCCAAAGAGCGCCATGCATTGCAAGTACTGCCTCGCTACCTTCTTGAGTGTCACGACCATCGTCATTGCGTGCCAACAGTCGGACGTCTCCACGCTCAAGGTCTTTGGGGGTGTCGCTTGTGTTGCTGTACTATACGGCGTGGTGTCATGCAACCCCAGACCTCCTCCGCCTCCCAAACCTCGGACGATCCGGCGCGATGACGCTGCAAAACTATTGAAGTTGCTTCCTGGTCATGTCGCCGCAAACGCGCTGACGCTGACAGAGTCCAAAAACCGCGAGATCGCTGCTTTGCACGAGCTACGCCGTGGCCTCGTTATCTACGACCACTACCTCGACGACGCAGCGACGCCCGCGACATTCTTCACCAACATCCGCGGCTTCATCGACCGCTTCGTGTTCTATTGTCCTCGCAACGGCACTGCGCTCCTCGGCGCCATCACGACGCAGTCGCTCGACGCCCGCGACGGCTACGAAAAGGCGTCTCGCGAAGTGTACTTTTGGTGCGTGGCTGCCTTGCCGCTGCTCGACTCGTTCGTCGACGCCTTGCAGCAAGAGCACACGGGCGATGCGCAGACGCTTCTGCTGAGTGTCTACGAACATGGCGCCACGATCATGCGCACGGTCGCATCGGCGCTTGCCAACACGGAGTCGCATCTGACCGATGCCAAGGCCAACGTGATGGCTTTGCGCGCGTGCCTGATGCCAGCCAGATGTGAGTATTCGCTCGAGAGCGCGCCCGAGATAAAGCTCTTGACCGGATCGGACGCCAACTCGTCTTACGCGCCAATGCAGTTCAGCGACCTCGAGGCTCTGGTGGAAGCCAAGAAGCCGGTACCTGCGTTGGAGGCTTCGCCGACGCTGGCTACGACGCTTCTCGAGCTCGCGCACCGGATCGAACTCATGACCCAAAGCATCCGGTCGGGCTGGAAGCAACTCGAGCAGACCAACGTCATCAACGAGATCGAGAGCGAGATGCGTCAACACAAGCTCCTCCAGCTGCTCGACGACGCTACGAAGGAGGCGTATATCACGTCGGCCAAGCATCTTCGCACGGCGTGCGACGAGTTTATGCAGCGCCATTTAGAATTTCATAGTCCATAGTTTTTCAACGACTTCTTGGTCAAATAGACATATTCTAGTACCTTAATACGATGCAGCCGATGGTCATCGGCAATTTATTTGCCTTGCCCACGTGGCAGCGTCCTGGCGCAGAGTGATATATTTCCGGATACGTCGTCCATTTTCGGATACCGTGCCACTCTGCAACTTGCCAGCATGCAAGAAGTGTTTGTCGTGACGGGCGGCAACAAGGTACGCGTCCTTGGACCGCGCCGCCTACAGCGATCGGCGTAGGGCATTGGCCTCGAGACGACGCGGCTCCTCGCCGAGCGCTTCCCCGAGGCCATCGTCCTCCTCGGCACGCGGAGCGTCGCCAATGGCCACGCCGCCATCGCGCAGCTCCGCGCCGAGCACCCGAGCCACACCTACGCCAACATCCGCACGCTCTACATCAACGTTGCGAGCGCGTCGTCCGTGGAGGCAGCCGCCGAGTACGTCGCCTTGCAGTATGGCCGCGTCGACGGGCTAGTTCAGAACGCCGGTGTCGTCGGTGATGCGTCCTTCGACGTCAACCTCTTTGGCATCGATGCTGTCTTTGACGCCTTCCGCCCTCTCCTCGTACCCTCTCCTCGCACCTCGGATCACAAGCTCAAGCATCTTTGTAGGCCAAGGCGACGCAGCTCACTGGATCGCCGGCGATGCATGTGATCGTGTCGTCCGAGTTTGCGGCGTGGACGACGCACGCCATGACAGCAGCGCTCCAGGAGAAGCTGGCAGCCTTTGCCTCGTGGAAGCCGCAGGAAGCGAAAGCGCTCGCGCTTGATTACATGGCCTTTCAACATGGCGAGACGTCACGCTATGCGTGGCCTGCGGCGTCGCTCACCCGCGGACGCTACGGCATCTCCAAGGCGCTCGGTCTGGCGCTCGGACGCATCTGGGCAGGTGAGTTTCGAGAGATCTGCACGGTCTCCGTGTGCCCCGGGTACTGCGACACGACCATGAACGTCGACTACACGGGCGCTCGGTCGGCCGAAGATGGCGCCAAGAGCGTGCTCTTCCCGATCTTGCACCCGACGAAGGTGCAGTCTGGCCTCTTCTACCAAGACGGCAAGGTGCACCCGTGGGCCTGCACGAATCCATTCGGTCCTTGATGTTTACTAGTACAGGGATCGAACCCCAGCAGTGAAGTGAAAATGCAATAAACAAATTCATTTCGACGGTCAACAGGGGGCAATGCCATGCAGAGGTGTCGACGATGGAGGATGGACGGGCTCATTCGGCTTGGTTCGACGGGATCGCGAGCGCAAGTGTCTCATCAGCGTCCGATTCTGTGGCCTGCGCAGCGCAGAGTATCGACGCCGCCGCGTCACACGAGCAAGTGTCTTGGAGTGGTGTCGGTGGGCTTGTTGTCGTGACGTCGGCCGCGGCGTCGCTCTCGGCGCTCGCAGTAGCCTCTATCACTTCGTGGGCACATGACGCGTCGCTCTCTGGCGCTAAGCTCGTAGGCAGAGCTACCTCGAGCTGTGTCAAGACGAGAAGCGACCGCAGCGAAGTGCGAAAGTCCAGCGCATGCGTCGGCTGGATCTTGCACACCGGGGCACCGATGAAATGGCTCGTCGTGTCGTGAAAGCCTTTCTTGGAGCGGGCACAGCCGGGGTACGCCAGCGCCACATCGAGCACGTGCTGCAAGAAGCGCTCGAGCGGCAACGCTCGCTCCGACATGTGTCCCACGCGCGCCGGCCATCGTCGCGATGGAAACGGGACCGCCTTGAGCGCCGTGCGCACCGCTGCGCAGCGACGGCAGGCGCACGCCGCCTGTATCTGCGACAGAAGCGCATTGCGGAGCGCGACAAACTGGCTGTAGCGCTTGGAGCACTGCGTCTTTCGCCGCGTCTCGGGCACGATGAGCTCCATGTCGTAGCGCAGTTGACGCTGCTCGGTCGCGCCCTGGACGATGACGAGTCCGACAAAGTTGACGACGACTGCCTCGGTCGTATCGACCGTCGAGGATGGACCGCTGGCCTTGGGCGACGGCGTCGGCGCTCGCTGGAGCCATCGCGGTAGGAAGCGTCGCATGCTCGCGAAATGAAAAATGGAAGCCTGTGAGAAGTTCGAACGCATCTCGCCCGCCAATGAAACGACCCGGAGAGATCGTTCTCGTCGCGGATTGGCGGATCCAAGAATCTCGACAAGCGAATCAAACGCGACGGTTTGGATCTTGCACGGGCATCTTGATCCATGCCAGAGAAACCACAAGGTAGAACGACGGGCAAATTCCGAGTCGGCTCGCAACTTGTTAACCACACGATTGCTGTCCTTTAACTTTAAGAAGGTTTGCATGTATGCGCGCTGGTCAGCACAAAAGCTGCACTTGGATGGGTGGTCGAAGTTCGACCAACTGCAATGTACCTGACACGGTAGCCAACTACACCTCGCATGGACTCGGTTGCTTCCAGGCACGGGTCCCGTCGCGCACAACGTTGTCAGTGACAACGTCACGAAGCGTGACCACCTTCCGGTTGGAGACGAGCTGGGTTGTGTGTTTTACATGGCTTGTTCGCTCAGCGACAAAAGGCTGCACCTCGGGTGAGACGTTGCTTGGCGGAGATCAACTAAGAGAGAATGCTAGGCTCTGCCGACAGTCGTTGATTTCGCAACCTTTTCGTGAAAACCTCGTGAAATACCCAGGAGCGACGCGTCACCTCCCAAAGCTCCAATCAGCGCGAGGCAAGGACAGCTCGCGAGGCATGCAAGGATTTCACGCATTCCGTCCAGCCGCTCACTGGCAACAGCTCAGACAATGCGCGAATCATGCGCATACAGCAGCGTCGTCATCGAGCGTCATCCAATCACACGCTGCGTGAATACGTACGCAGTGCTTGTTGGACCTAAGCTTAGTGTGCGGGCTCTGCCAGCGCCAGACCCATTATAGGGTAGAACTATCCCAACGTTTTTTCTAGTTTAATACAAAAATCGATTCCTAGAATTGCGGTGCGCGCCTATGCGGAAATCGTCGGCGAAGCAGATGGCGTACCAGTATGCAACAATCCGCAAGCTCTGGTTGGCTTGCACGTTCAGGGGGTAGTAGAAAAAAGCAGGTGAATGATTGGCTAAGCATCTTAGCCTGATGCAAATCACCATCTTCTCGGCCGACGAATAACGCGCGATCTCTGTGCTCAGTTTTCATTTGCCATGCGACTGCTTTTGCTCCTCGGGAGCCTCCTCGCCACCGTCGCCATGGGAGACCAGCACGCGAGCTGCTACTACCCTACCACCCCAACCATGACGCCGGCCCCGACGCCTGCCCCGACGCCGGCTCCGCTGACAGGGTGCGCGCTGTTCGCTTCGTATGCCGGGAACAATCCCGTGTCATTGACTGCGGCCGATGCCTCTGGCATGTGGGCTTTGGACGGCACTGGACGCGGTGTCGTCGCGTCGACGCCTGCGAAGTTGTACGCAGTCGGCGTCAGCACCAACGCCTATTTGATATCGGTTGTTGGACCGCACGTCGTGCTGCAAGTCGAGTCGGGCCAAATCGTCGGCACGACTTGGGACCCGTCGTTCTCCCCACTGTTTGCGTGCGCGGACGTCGCTGGCGGTAGCACGATCGCCCTCCGCATCGACAACAACTATGTGACGCAGTCCGGCGGCAAGCTCATGCTCGAAGCGCTAGTGGGGGGGCAACCCTCAACGAGCCAGCAGTGGACCATTGCTGCGATGAGCTGGAACTGATAACGTACTTACCAATTGTCGGCGGCGTTCCTCGACGATACATTGCTGAGCTGTCCCGACCCGTCAACGCTGGGTCTCGTCGTACGAAGTCGGATGAAAAAGCGTTGGCCAGGCCCCAGAGGTCACTTGATAAAGGCGGTGGCTAGTAACGGAGGCGCATCAACCTTAGCGCCGGTCGCGACAGGCACCGTCACTGCTACAAAGGGGCACTCGGAGAGTTCGTCAGCGTGCGCTGACGTAGATGTGCTGTGGCGCCGACCGCGTCATACCCTTCCACCAAGTTTATAAAGGGAGTTTCAATGCACGTTGTCCTTATCGTGCGACGACAGACCTATCACAAATGCGTGACCGTTGGCCGTATACTGTGGTGGGACACTGGGTGTAGCCCACGCCAACACCAGGACCAGGCAATGTGGGTTTGGATGTTGAGTCTTACGGAAGAAGTGCGTTGATGTGAACAGCCTTTGGCAGCAGTAGACGTCGCTTCACTGCTGTAGCTTCGCTGCCACTTTGCGTTCTTTTTGTAGCCGGTGTTTCGAGCGTACGGCCTATCTCGTATTTCACGTTCTGGTTGTTGTCAGGAGCGGAATCGGTCACATTCTTATGTAACAAAAATGGCGACCATCTATCTATCCATCGCACCTCGCAAGTGTCTTTTAGCCGAGCCTACGCCTCGTCGCCCAGAGTGTCGAACAATGGATGGGTCAAGCATATCGTGCGACGGAGTGTCATCACATGCACCAGACCGAGGGCACGACGGGTCGGCGGATCTCGCAGTGTCGGGAGAGCGCGGCGGTGACCGAACCCAGCGGCGTCGGGAACGTGACTTTGGTCGGCAGCACGAGCTCGTTGGCAATGTAACCGGACGGCGTCGGTGCTTCAACTACAGAGACGGCGCTGGAGTCCGCCATCTCGTCGAGGACGGCCAAGAGACTGAGCCGAATCTTCTCTTCCAGAACATCGTCGTGGTAGCAGAGCAAGAAGACGTCCGAGCCTCTCAAACTGATCGTGGGGCTCGCCTGGTAGGCAGCATTGGCCTCGAAGAGCTTGTAGACACGGCCGCCTCGCGCGACCATAGCGGCGTCCACGTGGTGCTGGCAAAAGCACGACAGCATAAGTCGGTTCTTGAGGTTGTTGTAATGATGACTCGTAAAGTCGCGCGGCAGTACCGAAGGGTCTCGACGCAACCCTAGTCGCAATAGTAACATCAACGATTGAAATCAAACACGATTCGTACAGTGTCGGTAGCGCGGCGCGCCAAAGCCGTAGATGAGCGGCAAGCAAGCAATCACAAGCGTGTACAATGCACAGCCGATGGCCATTTCATTCTCTTGGCCACGCACCGCCGGCGGCACCGCCAGGAGAAAGAGCCAGTGATACATGCGCGTCATGAAGGCGACGTTGCCACTCACCCACGAAAAGATTGGGCCGTAGATGGTGACGGCGACCGCGACCAGCGTCGGGTCCACTTCCGCAAAGAGGTGTTCCTTGTGCGACCGTTTGAGCCAGTACGCCGTGACGCAGAGCGCACAATAGGCAAACCAGACCTAAGATTTACCACTCATTTCTGAGAGATACCCAATGTGAACGTAGAAGTGTACCGTGCGCGACAGATAGAGCACATTGACATAGAGCACGTCGAGGTCGCCATTTTGGGATGCCCTTAGAATCGAGACGCCGACGTTGCTCGTACTGAGCCAAATGTCGGCAAGGAATGCCAGCGCGACTTTGGGGTCGACGAGAATCAGTGCGGTCGGGTCGCCCAGCACCACTTCGTAGCGCCACGCCGATGCGTCACGTCGCACGAACGCATGGCCACGGGATCGAACGGCCGCCTCTAGCGCAAAGCAGTGCCGGTAGTAGCAAAACCACATGCGCCAGAGCACAAATAGCGTCAGCAACAGGCGGTAGCCAAACTTGAGCCATAAAAACACCTCAAAGCGCGTCGCTGCGTACGTGTACGTGAGCGTCACGACGTCCGAGGCATTCGTCCCGTGAAGAGCATCACCAAGTGTGAGCCAGAGACACGACGTACCAAACGTGATGGTGGCCACCTTGTCGTAAAAGCACGACCCGTTCGCGGTCAGGTCAGCGATAGTCGCGTTTCCAGGCGATGCGAGCGCGCAAACCACGGCCATTTCGGGCTCGGTGTAGTAAATGAGCCCGGGCATCCCCAAGAGCATCTCGGAGAGGCACCGGGACTGAGGAATGTCCTTTGGATACGGATACGGAATCGTAGTACGAAGCACTTGGACGTCGTTAGTGCGATCGTAGTGGTAGGCCGCGTGCATCGGGAGCGTCGTCGCTGTGTAGACAAGCCGGTTGTGCGCCAGCGACCGCGTGTTGAAGTCGGAGTAGTTGGCGTACGAGGTGTTGAGAAGCGGCGGTGCCGTCCACGGGAGGTACTCGGAGATGTACGCCTTCATGGGCTAACACAAAGCATAGCTGAGGAAAGCGAACCGAGATATGAGGAGTAACCATCGAGACGAGGTTGAGAAAGGAGCAAAAGCTGAGGAAGAGCCCGACTGTGTTGCGCTTGACGCGGTACGGCGCATGGCGCAGGTCGGCGACCTGGGCCATCAATGGCCCGCCTTTCTAAAGCTGGATGGGGCGTTTCAGATAGTGCAGACAGGTTGTCCAATGACGAAGGCTGCTCTGCTTGTTCTACCCGTCGGCTTCGGCACTCGGACATACGACGAAACCCGAGTTGACCAACGCGGCACCTTCGCTGACCTGGATACCGGTAAGTGCATTTTTGTTTGCCGACTTTACAACAGTTCAACACTTCCATACGACAGTCCCATTGGCAGTCCGGTGATGCCGCAATGTGAGGCGAGGAGGTAACCGAAGGAGCATCGCTCCATAAAGGTTATTTGGTGGCGTAAGGAAGCCAGCCGTCCATGCTTGAGGCTGCCACAGTGCAGAACAATCCAAATGTGTTGCATTTGGATGACACCAGTTTTCAATGTCGAATTTTGTCTTTTACATGCACCAGGCCGAGGCAGCCGCCGGTCGCTGGAGCTCGAAGCGACTGGCCGCGACAGACCCAACCGTGCACGTTGCCATCGGCACCGTCACTGTGGGCGGCACAACAAGCGTATTGAAGATGTACGGAGATACCTCGGTCGATGCGTGCACCGCCAGTTCCGCATTCGCAGGATGCAACTGCAGACTCTGAAGCAAACTCAAGCGAATGGTCTCGTTCAACGCCCCGTCCTTGTAGCAGAGGAGGTAGCAGTCGGCGCCGCGCAAGCTGATCGTCGGGCAGCTCTTGTAGCGGGCGTTGAGCGCCTGAAGCGCGTACACGGTGCCGCCGCGCGCGAGATTTGGCGACACGCGGCGCAGAGACGAGAGCAGATTAAGGAGAAACCGATTCTTGACGCCGTTGTACCGGCGATTGCTATAGTCGCGAAGCCGTCGCTGTCGACCTACTCGATGCAAAATTGAGCACTAGAATAAGTCGCTCAAGGATGTACGGGCAGCGGCCATCAAAAAGCCATACACGACGGGAATACACGCCAGACCCGACGTGTAAAAGGCCGAGCCAAAAACCGCTTCGTTGACTTGGCCGCGATTCTTGTCGGGCACCGTAAGCGTAATGAACCACTGCCCCAACCGCACCAAAATGCCGAGATTGCCGTTGAGCCAGGTAGCCAGCGGGCCGTAGACAGCAACTGCGATCGTGAGGCACGTTGGATCGACATCGACAAAGAGCTGTTCCTTCTGGTAGCGTTGAAGGCCATGCGCAACTAGAGAGAGCGCCAGAAATGCAAACCACACCTAGTTCCCCATCGTCTTTCAATGTATCAAAGCATCAAGTGAGACGGTACCGTGCGCGAGAGATACAGCGTGTTGAGGAAGAAGACGACAACGTCAGCATTTTGCGTCGCGCGGAGGATGGCTATCGCGAGTGTGCTGCAGCTAAACCACATGTCGAGGACAAACGCGGCGGCGATCCACGGGTCCAATAGCACGATTGCGGTCGGGTCCCCGACAACCAACTCGTACCTCCAAGGACCCGGCGCTAACTGTCGCATGTGCCCGAACGAGCGCAAGGCGCGCTCCAAGGCAACGCAGTGGCGGTAGTACCGAGACCACATGCGACAGACGACAAACATCGTGATGCCAATGCGGTAGCCGAGTTTGGCCCAAAGCCACTTGTCGTAGCGCATCTCCGTGTAGGCATAATTCAGCGTGATGACGTCGGTCGCGTTCAAGTCGCCAAGGATGGCGTCGCCGGGCGTGAGCCAGAGACAGGCATACCCGATCTCAAAGCCAAGAAACCGGCCTCGAAAGCACGAGCCTTGGTGTGGCCAGTCGACGCTACTGGTTGCATTTGGCGTTACTGCTAGGACACGACAGACCAAATCGACTTGGGCGCGGGTGTAGAAGACGAGGCCAGGCACGCCGAGCAAGTAGGCGTCGATGCACTCGGCGTATTCGAGAGGCTCTCGCCCAAGCCGCAGCGTTTGGCGAGCGACCTGCACGCTCTCCTTGGTGTCCGAGTAGTAGGTCGCCTTGGGTGGCAGCGAGGAGGCAGTGTACGCGGCTTGATTGGCTGCAAGCGCCATCGCGTTGAAGAGCGTGTAGTTGGATGGTAGTTCGGGCACGACTGGCGGCGCGGTCCACGGCCAGCACTCGGAGAGGTACGCCTTGAAGGGCTACGTAGTTCTTAGCCGTGTTTTCTATGACAGGGTTGAATACCATGGTGGCAATGTTGAGCATCGAGAACAGGCTCAGCGCCAGTCCGAGACGATCCCGACGCAGTGTGATCGACTGCGCCGGCGCCGTGGGTCCCAGGGCGAAGACTCGAGCGCTTCTCATACGAAGTAGCAATCGCGACGAGCACGCAGTTGCTCCGTCTACTGATGTAATTTTAGAAGGCATCCGCCGCCGTTTTGAACGGTGTACAATTCATGTCGTCCTCAATGTATATGACAATAATGCGTTTGTATTGTGCTGCCTGGCACCGCTGTCGACAGCTCTGAAGACCACTGCCCTCTCGGAGCGCACCAGAGTGTACGGTAGACTTGCCAGGCGTAGAGTCCACACGTTGACGAACGAACGTCCACTTGTGCCCAGCTGCGAAGAGCCGCGCGTCTATGGTTCCGTGGTACCCCACAATCGGCGACGTCGAGTTTCGGTGCTGCGTCGAGGCGGCTGCGCCGTGTCGCGACAGTGCCTGCGCAACTTGTCTTCAAGCGCGACGTACGTGGCGCCTCCTGCGCAATAGAAGGGACCCAAGGACGTCAGCAGTGGCAAATTGCCTTAGGAGGGGGATGGGCAGGGAGGATCTGGAAGGTACACATCAGCCAATCCAAATGCAGCAACATGAGATACGGCCATGCCATTGGTGGACGCATAGACACGTTACAAAAACGCACCAATCCGGCACGACCATGGACATCCCGGAAAGGCCATCATTTGCAAATCCGCACGCATGACCGTCTACCTCGTGACGGGCGGCAACCGAGTACGTCGACGACGGCTCCCGTGCGACGACTAAGGCAACGGCGTAGGGCATCGGCTACGACACAGTGCGCCTGCTCTCCGAGCGCGACCCAGCTGGCACGGTGCTGCTCGGGTGCCGGTGCGCCGATGCTGGCGCCGACGCGATTGCCCGCATGCAAGTCGAAAACCCGGCGTGCACCTACAGCAACATTGCCACGGTTCTTATTGACGTGACGAGCGCGGCGTCCATCTTGGCGGCCGTCGCCGACGTCGAGGCCAAGCACGGGCACCTCGACGTCCTCATCAACAACGCTGGCATCCTCGGCTGCCCCGAAGAAGGTGGGCCCGAGATGTGCTTTCGTGTCAACGTCTTTGGCGTCTACAACACAACCGAGGCGTTCTCGCCCATCATGGTATCTCCTTTCTTATTGTCACATGTCCGCTAACACTGATTTATAGCCAGGGCAGGCCAAGGTCATTGTGCTCTCGACAGAGATGGTCGCCTGGACCTGCTACGAAATGCCGTCCGCGCTGCAAGCGCTCTTCTTGTCCGATGAAGACATGACGATCGAGCGTGTCAAGCAGCTGTGCGACGACTGGCTCCATGGCGACGGTGCGGCCTACGCGTGGCCACCGCCGTCAACGACGTATGGCCCATACGTCATCTCCAATGCCCTTAGCATGGCCATGATGCGGACGTGGGCCCGCGGGCATCGAAAAGGGGTCCATACCGTCCTTGTCTGCCCCGGGAATTGCTCCACCGACATGACGCACTACCACGGATGTCGGACGTCGACGCAAGGCGCCGAGAGCGTTCTGTATCCTATCTTCCACGCCACCGAGAATGGCGGCTTGTACTTTAACGGTGTGCCACTGGCCTTGTGTGCACCGCGCCCTCACTAATCTTTGTTGAATCGTATAAGTATTTCGAGTGCATTGTGCGTCTCGTCGGCGACTTGAACGGCCAACGCATCGGGCACCATGCACGCAGGCATTAAACGCTGACCGAAGAAACGCCAAAGCGCTCAGGTCGATGCTAGTTTCGTGAGAGTGAAAGGCGCATGCGTTGCTGAGGGTAGAGCCGAGCCGAACCTGTCTCGAACGATCATGCCTTGGACCGTCGTCACTCACCAGTACTGAAGTTGACGCCGATGTCAGCGCCTCAGCCACATGTCCGACCTAAAAATGGTCCCACTCCTTTTCACGGTCGCCCGACAAGGCAGGAAGTGGTTGTATCCCATGAGACGTCGCGGGTTCGATGTTGAAGTGGGTCGTCTATTAAAATAGATACGTAAATCTACGCTAAATAAAATTGTCGAACCTTCTTCGTTGTGCAGGCGCTGGTGATGATCTTGATCTAGGCCGGCGGAGGCAGGAGCGCGATCCGCGGGACAAGGTGCTGGCGCGGCCACTCGTGTTGAGCGAGGAGCCGGAGAAGGCGACGTAGAGCCATCTGTCCTGGGGTTTGAACGAGGCTGTGGTGCAAATGCATTTGAGCGACACGCGCCGCTTTGACGGCAATCGTCCATGGGCTTGGCAGTGGGAGGTCGGCGCGAAAGACGCGATAATTGCGGACGCGCCAGACGTTGAACCAGACGCAGGCGCGGAGCTACACTCGACGTCGTTGTGGAGATCGTATATGTCTTGACCGAGACCTTATCGTGACAACAATGGAGGCGCCATTTATGCTTCAAATTTCCTCGTGTGTTTTTCAACCGTCCCAAAACGGCCGCCTTTCTTCAAAGCCTGGGATGACGCGCATCGCGGTGTGTAGCCACCCAGTACGACGCCACACCGTTCGTATGAACCGCGTGGGGCTTGCGCTGAGTGTTGTATCGCTGCTCAACATCGCCTCGATGGTGCGTCCTCCTTTGCAGCCGCTGACTTGAACGCAAACCGCGTAGCCCATGAAGGCGTACATTTCCGAGTACCTTCCGTGGCGCGCGCCGCCCACTGTCCCCGACACGTACGCCAACTACTCGGACTTTAATGCGCAAAAGCTCGCGTTCAACGGCGCCTTGTACAACAACGAGACGCTCTCTCGGGGCGCCACGTACTTGACGGATACAGTCCACGACATCCAGGTGATGCGGTACGTGCTCTTTCCCGCGCTTGTGGCGCCGATCTCGCGCGACAACTGCCTCTCGCAGTTCCTTGTCGGCCTCCCGGGCTTGGTATTCTTTACGCCAGCGCAAATGGACTATCTTTGCCACCTCGTGGAAGCCACGAATGCGACGACGCCCGTCGGTGTTGAGAGCGGCTCGTGCTTTCGCAATACGCAGCTGACGCTCGAGATCGGGACGATTTGTCTCTGGGTGACGCGCGGCGATGCGGTCTACGGCAGCAACGACTCGTTGGCGCTCACGTATTCGTTCGTGTACAATGCACCGCGCTATTGCACGTGGCTCTGGTGCAAGTTTGCCTACCGCGTCTTCACGACCGGCATCGTGATTCGTCGCCTATGGTCACAGTACTATCGACATATTGTACATCTGCGACAGCGCCTTGTCCTTGAGAGCCATGTCGCGACGCCGAGACGCGACCGCTGGCGCTACGAGCTCGTCTTGGGCGACCCGACAGCGATCATTCTGTTGGATGCGTGGGTCGCGCTGGCGTTCGTGGTCGACATTTGGCTCAGCACGGCCAACGTCGGTATCGCAGTTCTTCGCGCCTCCCAGAACAGCGACATCGTCGTCAACCTCCTCAACATCTTGTATCTCTCCCGTACGGTAGGATTGTGTCTAGTGTCCCAATACGGTATCCACTTGATATTTGTAGTGTAGGTGTGGTTTGGTTACTTTGGTCTGTGCATGACCGCGCACCTTCTCCGGCGCTACGAAGCACAGCACCTCTTTGACGAAGTCGATCCGACCATGGTGGCGATCGGGGTCACGGTCTTTGGCCCGCTCATCTCATGGCTCAGCGGCAACTGGGCGCCGCTGGCGTCCGTATACCACTGGCTCTTCTCGGTGCTCGTGCCGTACGAGCAGAAGAGCGAGAAGGACGAGATCTTTCTTGCGTGCGTCTTTTATACCTTTTGCATAGCGAGCCTGCCGGTCGGCTATGGCTTTGTCGCTGCGTCTGTGCGTCATCGTGCGTTTCCCATGTTGAAATATTGCAAAATTGGCGTCGGGCCTCGACTGCGCGCGATCGACTATAGCAGTTATGTGTACAACACGGTCAAGAACCGACTGCTTCTGAGCCTTGTGCGGTCGTTTCGCGATCCATCGGCGATGCCGAGCCGAGGCGGGTCCATCTACGAGCTCTTTCGACGCAACGCCAACTACAAGACCAGTGCAACACTCAGTCTCTGCGGTGCCGACTGCTACCTCCTTTGCTACGACGGCGACGACGTGCTCACCGAGAAGCTTCGGCTGAGTCTCCTCAGCAGCTTATCGCAGAACGGTCGCACTACGTTGATTGCCGAGTCGCGCACGGCGTCGCCGTATATCTTCAACGCGCTCGAGATGCAGCTACCGGACGTCTTGCGCAGCCGCAGTTCCAAAGTGCGGGTGCAAGGTGAAGTCGCGTTTGTCGCGATACAGCGCCCTCTGGCACCGTCGCCATGGTGTCTTTAAACAAAAATCGTAAGAATTCTGGTGGGGCTAGGACTCTCGCAGGCTACGTGCTGCGGATCAACCCACGATCTACTCCTTGAACAAAGAATTGTGATTTAAGCAAGGCCATAACCTTTACTGACGCCGTGAATCAAGGTAGAAAGATACCAAGTGAGCGCGTTAGTTGTTAGCGACTAGACGGCTTGGTGCTGCGCATGACGACGCATAAAGTCGCTGCAGGTTGTCCGCAACGCTGACGCCGATGTCAAGTACTTGTCCATCGTCGACTGGTCGAGAAACTTGAGTAAATTTGGCTGCCGCCGTTCGTCGTCAAGGGTCTCGATGACGTGCGTTCGCTGCAGTTGATTCCAGCCACAATCAATGCTCTTCAGCATCAACTCCATTCGTTTGGCAAGCACTTGCAGCAGATCGGAGAGCTTTTCATCCACTGCAGCCGGTCGACCATACGTCGTGATGCGCGCCCCCGCATCGGCCGGCGGCGCTCCAAACGCCAGAAGGGACTCGTCATTCGACGTTGTTGCGCACCCGATCGAACGGGTGTTGGGCGTCGACGCCTGAAAGGCCATGCGTCGGCTCAAGTCCGTGGCGTTCTGCATGGCCAGCTCCAAGTGCTTGGTCGTCTTGGCGAGCGCGGAGGCGACCGTGTGCATGATGGTTGTGCCGTGTTCGTAGACTGAGAGCAAGAGGAGTTGAGCGTCGTTGATGCGCCCGCTTTGCAGTGCGTCCTCAAAGGCCTCGAGGAGTGGTAGCGCTGCCACGCACCAGTAGTAGACTTCCCGAGACGCTTTTTCGTAGCCGTCGCGGGCGTTGAGCGACTGCGTCACGATGGCACCGAGGAGCACAGCGCCGTTGCGAGGGCAATTGAGCACGAAGTGGTCGAGGAAGCCGAGGAGTTTGTCGAAGAATTCCCGAGGCGTAGCTGCGTCGTCGAGGTACTGGTCGTAGATGAGAATGCCATCGCCCAGCTTGCGCAGCGCTGGAGCTCCGCTCTTGCTGCACCCGAGCTTAATTCTTTCATTTGCTAGGACGACCGTGGGCAGCTCGGCTTGGAGCTTCTCCAACGCTTGTGTGTCCGACGAAATGTTGGGCGTCTTGGGGCCGCGAAAGCAGCAGAAGCACTTGCGCACAGCATGTAGTAGTGCAAGAGCCCACATCCGTAGCCTCGCCCATAACTCGGTCCATACCTTCATTTGTCCAATTTGAAAATGAAGGCCAAGGTCGCAGGGAACGAGCATGATACTTTGTGTCTTGTGGAGCAGTATTTGATTAGCCAAGGAGCTTGATATACCATGTATCCAGTTGTTTTATCAAAGGCGATCTCTTCCCCTGTTTATGGTGGTGCATTCATCATTGCTGGTCGGAGCCTGCGGAAGCCACTTTCAGCGAGTCTGCAGTTTTCAACAAGCTCTACTGTATGCAGGCGGCGACACGTTTCCGACAATGGATTGGACAAAATGAACAGAAAAGCCAAACAAAGGCAACGACAAAACCTGACACGACCATACAAACGCTATGGTTTTTTATAAATTAAATTTAATTCATGGTATAACCCCCTCTGATTGGTCGAAAAGCCATTGCATTTCCGGCCGCCCGTCGAATTAAATGCAAAAATGCATGTTCTATACATATATTGAGGTTCAATAAAAATGCGGAATAAAAATGCGCTTGTCGCCAGTGTTTTGCCCTCCATTTGCATCCCTGGAAGCAGCATGAGCAGCATGGAAGAGGGAGTCGTCCAGGCCGTCGAGGCCATGTACGCGTCCGGGTCGCCGGCGGACCACCGCGCGGCCGCCGACGAGTTCCTCCGCAAGTTCCAGCGCGACGATGCCGCCTTCGCCACGTGCTACGCGCTTCTCTCGCGACCGACGATCCCGTCCATGCGCCTCTCGGTGCACTACGTCCACGCCTTCTGCGCGCAGACCATCTCGCACATGACGCTGCTGGCGGCCGAGCGCGACAGCCTCACGGCGCTCTTCGGACTCCACCGCGAGCGCGATATCGTGCGCCTCCTCGGAACCGCGCTCGTCCGCAACATGGAGTCGTCGCAGGGCCTCGACTGGCTCATGCTCGGCGCGTGGGACGACGACGTGCGCCTCTCGCTGCTCACGCTCGCAGCGAAAGACGGGATCGCCTACAGCGAAGCGCCCAAGGTCATTGTCTGGCTCGGGAAGGCCAACGTTGCCTCCGCCGACGCGCTCCGCTGCCTCGCCGAGTGGATCAACATGCTTGACGATACCACGCGGGATCCCGGTACACGCATGCGCCTCCATCTCTCTCTTTCTCATGTAACATGGCTACGTAGAACTCGTCGTGCCCAACCCGGTGGCGAACGCAGCGCTGCAAGTCCTCCGCAACGGCATGGACGACAACACCGAGATCTTTGACGCGGCCGTCGACGTTGTCATCGAGATCATCCGTGCGTTTCCGTCTGCGGAGCGTGACATGCGCGTCATCCAGTGGCTTCTCCCGCAGCTCATGGGGCTCAAGCCGCTCTTCGCCGAGGCGGCTTCTTACGGTACATGCCTCGACCCTTCCTCGCTGCGTCCTAAATTGTGTGGCAATAGACAACACCGACTGCTGTATTGGCCTCACACGCATCTTTACCGAGATGGCCGAGATGTACTTGAACTTGATTTTGAGCGAGTCGCCGATGAACCAAACCGCGGTCGTCGACATGCTGCTCGACTGCATGGCCTACCCGGACGCAGAGAGTACGTGGCTATCGCGGTCCGGCGACCTCCAGCTGACGTCGGTCGTAGTCGCCGAGATCACGATGCCGTTCTGGTTTGTCTTCTGCGACGCGCTCATCTCGTCGCGCGACCCGACTACGAAAGCCCGTCTTCTGGCGACGTTTACGCCCAGCCTCACGCGCCTCTCGCTCATTTGTACTGTACAATATTGTCTGCTGGTCGATAGACAATATGGACTAGGCATGCAAAACATGTGCTTTCGCGATGGCTTCCGCGAGCTGCCGATTGACAAGAAGCAAGATTTCAAGAACTTTCGCGCCGATGTAAGTTCGATTTGTTTGTTTTGTATCAAGGTATCAAGTGTGCCCATTGTAGCTTGGCGACATTCTGCGTGACTGCTGCCACCTCCTCGGCGCCGAACTCGTGCTCCAACACTGCGTGCAGGGTCTGCAAACCATCTTCCAGTCCCAGGTACCAGATCTGGTACGAATATGGTGCTCAGAACGTATGGTGTAGGAGTCGCCCGAGCGTCAGTGGGAAGCGATTGAAGCCCATTTGTACAGCTTTCGCTCGATTGCGCGCAAGGTCGAGCTCCAGATCCAGTCGCGCTCCAGTACGTTTTGGTTCCAGAATCCAGATTCTAATGCAATTCGGGTTCTAGACTTTGACGAGACGCCGCTGCACAGCATCTTTTCGTACCTCCCGCAGTTCCCAGACCACCCCGCGATCAAGTACACGTCGTGCCTCATCATCTCTCGGTACGCACGTCCCAAGTTCAAAAAAAAGTTATATAACTTTTTTTATAGCTACGCCGAGTGGCTCGGCTCGAGTGCGACCAGCTACCTCCCGTCGATGCTGCAGTTTATCGACGCGACGATCCAGCAGTGTCTGAACCGCAAAGACTATCAAGAATGGTATCTCGTCGAGCTCGTCGATAGTCTTTGAGAATGTGAGATAGGCAAGTGCCCACGGCCGTCAGCGCGGGTCTGCGCTCGCTGTGCATTGACTGCTGGAAGCACGTCGGTCGCGACCTTATCGAATACTACGTGCGCCTCCAGGCGAGCGACGCGCTCCTCGTCGAAGACCAAGTCATTTTGCTCGAGGTGCTTACTATCCTACCTTATCGCAAAGGTCGCATTGGCGTTTAGGGTATCTGCAAGGGCGTGTCGATTGGCGACCGCCAGCTCATGGTGCCGGCGATGCAGACGCTGGTGACGCCGATCGCGCAGCACATGACTGAGATTTTTGCGCGCGGTACGCGTTTTTGAGATGCCGATTCGACATTGACGTTGAGTTTCAGATCATCCGTCGGCGAATGGGATTCTCAAGGATCTCCTGCGGCTCATGTGCATCTACGACCACATTACGGTCTCGGTCGTCGACCCGAACGCGACGCACCCGCTCGTTGCGCTCACCGAACAACTGTTTCCGCTCTTCCAGCAGGTAGGTTTGCTGCATATGTCAATGTATCAATCTATCGACCTGCAGACGCTGCGCGTGTACGGGCACAACGCCGAGGTCGTCGAGCGCAGCTGCCGCTGCTTCAAACGCATGCTTCGCGTGCCGCAGATGAAGGTCGTCGTGCCGACGCTGGCCGAGCTCCTCGTGACGCACTTTGACGCGCATCCGCAGTCGTCGTACCTCTACTGCGCGAGCATGATCCTCAAGCACTTTGCGTCCGACGCCGACTGTGCGCCGATCTTCGAGCAGCTTCTATTGGCGCTGAGCCGCAAGACGTTCAGCGTGCTTCAGGTATGCCCCAGTGCGCGCACCTGGGATGCACAGTGTGGCTGTAGGAGTCGTCGCACGCCATGGTCGACAACCCGGACATTGTCGAAGAGTTCTTTTACCTCCTTGAGCGCTACTTGCGCTGCTTGCCGCTGCAGACGGTGCCGCTGCTGCCGAGCGTCTTTCAGGTGCGCGAACGCCACGTTCACAGTCCGTATTCGATCGAACGACTGTAGTGTGCGCTGGCGGGACTGGCCATGCAGCACAACGACGCCAACAAGGGCGTGCTGAGCTGCCTCCAGCTCCTTCTGCAGCAAATGGCCTTGGTGCACACGGACCCGACCTTCCAGCCCTACTACGTACAATATTGTCTATCGGTTTCTCCCAACAAAAAATTGATAGACGACCGTCGACGAGTGCCTCCGGACGCAAGGCCACCTCCTCGTGCACGCGCTCTTGCGCGGTGTTATGGGGCACCTCTCGGGGTCGCGTGTCGACGCCGACCACGGGTCGTGCGCCGGCGTCCTCCTCTGCATTGCGCAACTCCACGGCAACCTCTTCCAGGTAACGTTTTTCGAAACTTTCAAGGTATCAACCCGGATAGGAATGGGTCACGAGTGTGCTCGGCGCGATGGAGACCGGCCCCAAGCTCAAATCGGACGAAAAGCAAAAGTTCCTCGAGACGCTTCTCTCGGCGACGGACGAAAGCACGTTCCGCCGCACGATTCGCCACTTCTCCAAGCTCTGCAAGCAGTGCAACGTATACGTCTAAGCCACCATCGTCCACGCGATTATACAAGGACTACGCTACGTTTTGGTTATAGCAGCGTGCAAAACTTGAGAAAGAGCGGGCCCGGCTCGTCGTAGAGGCCGATCGGGTTTTGCCGGACGACGATCGTCTTGACGTCGTCGCCGGTCGGCCGGCCTTCCATCGGCGGCTGGCGGCGGAAGATGACAATGAGCTCGCGCAGATGCGCGTTGGACATGTACGGGTCCATGTAAAAGAGCCGTGTCTGGGGCGCCACCTCAATGTGCCCGCAGTGCAGATGGTCGATGAGCAGGGAAGTCGCCGTGCTAGTTCATCGTCGTGATGACAGAATTCGAGAACCACAAACCTCGCAAAGGCCGACCCGCCACTCTCGACGAACGCAGCGTCCGAGACTAGACCAAGTAGGTTGAGCCGACGTCGAGTGCGATCATGCACCTCGCCACGCAATGACGTTGGCCTTGGCAATGTTGGCTTGGATGAAGCGCCGAAGCCCTTGCAAAAACGGGTGGGCGCCTAACCATGAGAAATAAGAACGTCGCGCTGAGGCTCGAAGCCTGTACCAATGTTGGCGTTGTGTTGCTGGAGAAACGACATGAGCGCGTCTTTGGCCGCATCGATCTCGGCGCGGGTGCGGAGGTACCCTTCCAGCAGCCGCACGGTCAAGAAGGGCGTGCCATCGACCGGGTGCGTCTCGGCGAGGTAGTGCACACTCTGGCGCTGCGCGAGCGTCGCAGCAAACTCGTCGTACTATAGCAGCCAGTGCCATTCATCGAGTGGTTGTCGTCGAAGCGTGTACCCGCTGCTTGGACGCGTACGCGTGGAACTCGGCGCGGACTTGGTTCTTGACGCGCTCGAGCACCGTGAGGCTAGCCAGGTGGACGTCAGCCTCCGAGACGCGTGACGTCGACAGCGACTACTTGGTGTAGAAGATGTCGCTGTGGTCGGCGATGGGGCAGTGCGCGAGGCCCAGGCTCGCGAGCGTCGCGTCGGCGCTCGACGTGCTGCCCGCGCCTGGGATCGAGATGCTAAGGCCGTGTCATTGGCAGGCGACGTCAACTAGTAGAGGGACGTACGCGACTTGGTCGAGCTTGAGGCCTTCGTAGACGTCGAGGATCGCCTTGGCGTCGTGGGTCTCGTCATGCTGGAAGTAGTACGCTTGGCAGATGCCCCGCCACTGGCCGAGGACGGTCTCGGCGCTTGCGTCAACGCAGCGGCAGCCCATGGTACGACCGGAAATGTTTCTTTTTTGAGTGGGTGAAAAAGGTTACACGCAACGTTTTACACGTTCCTCGGTGGGAAATCCACCGCAAGTGCAAAGTGCAAGTGCAAAGTGGCGTCGTGTCGACAAGGATCCAAGCCATTGGACTCTGAGAGACTAGCTTGGCGGAGGAGAAATAGCTACGACGTCGTTCTCCTCGCCTATCTCGAATTGTACTACGTTTTAACGTGACGCTACCGAGTACGGTGGCTGACGAGCCTCTCGTTTGGTGCACATTGGCAACGATGCAGAAGGGTCGAGGAAAGGGTGTGACGCACGTGCCTACACTCGGAAGAAGGGTGAGATCTATGGATGGTTGACGAAGTCTCAAAGAAACACGCAAGGGGCAACGACGGGCGCTTCGATTATTCGAATGCGTCGCGACTTGAAGTTGGGCGATTGCATGTTAAAACCGCGTCGAGGCTTTTTTCGCATTCGACTTGATAGCTCCAGCTCCAGTGGACGCGTTCGTACGCTTCGATGCCCAGCTCCAATAAGATCTGATCTGGGGTGACGCAGTGGGCGATTGCGACAGAGGCCTCTACGGTACTCGCCAAACGCACGTTGTGTATATCGTCGTTGGATACTACTACCGACGGCGCTGTCAAGTAGTACGTCCATTCTAGCTGTAGACCGAGCACGCATCCCTACCGAGCCTCGTTCGATAGCCTTTTTGGTAGTCGATACGAGCTCAGCTTCGAGCTTCGGCTTTGTGAGGTCGCTTCATGCCATTGACAAGGTTAAAGCCCTACCCCCGGCTCAACGCCAAACCTTGTCCAATGTTAGTCGTTTGCGTGATCGACGCCTAGTTATAGCTCCATAGTCCATCTCATTCGGTGGAAAGGACCAGCGCAGAGCCTGGTCGCCGAGTCATTGACGCGTGATGCATCATCAACGGCGTGCGTCCCACCGGATCTGGATTTCCCACG